TCAAGATGATGATAATTAAGAATTGAAGAGGTTACCCAGAGCTGAAAATATTTCTGTTTCTGGAGGTTTTCAAAATACAACTGGTTGGAGCTGTGAACGAACTGAAGTGCATTCAGTGTTTAACTACTTCAAGCAGCAGGTTGAACTTAGCTGACTGTGGAATGGTGATACTTTTCATTCAGTAATTTCATTGGTAAAACTGTTCCTTAAGGTAACTTTTCAGATGATGTTGTGGTGGGTTGTGTAGGTATTCTGTACCTGAAGTGTTGTTGCTGTTACAGATTATTTCCTTGCTTGATAGTTTAATGTGTTCCATGGAATTAAGCACTTAACCTGCATTTTATTAAGTGTTAAATTTAATTTTCCAATTTTTTCTTGCTTTTCTGTTTCTGTATGTGTGTGTGTTAACTTTTTTTTTGTCAGACCTCAACTTCTGGTTTTGTTAAACTTGGATAGTGAGCAGCTGGTGAAACATCCTAGATTGCTTTCTTTCACCTCTCAACTGAAGGCTGGTAAAGGACTGACAATCGTGGGCTCTGTGCTTCAGGGAATCTACTTGGATAAATGTACAGAAACTCAGAAAGCTGAAGAGGTATGTAAAAGACAGCTTACAAACACTTAAACTTCCATTAGTATTTAAGTGTTGAATCTTTGTGAATTCATATCTTGAGTTAGAACAAAGTGTTGTAAAGGATTGAAGAAAACAAACTTTTTACTCACAGCATAATCAATTGTGATATAAAAAATAAGTTGATGTGTATAGCAAAATGCTTTATAAAATGCCTCAATAGGATGAGGCAATGCTTATACTTCTTTAATACTGAGAGCCCTGGGCTTACAATCAAATTATATTACTGAAAAAGCCAAGTGATAGACTTTTAACAGATTACCTTATAAGAAAAACAGATCTATTTAATGAAAAAAGTAACGTGTTCAGCATAATTTAATCCTCTGTACATAGATATGATATTATTTTCTACATTGTCCTACTAATATATAGCAGAGCTAGGATTAGGAACAGACTTTGCCAGAATCCTACTCTGTTGCTTAACTGTAACCTGCATCCTTCTTGAGATCCTTTATTTATTTATTTATTTATTCCTATCCTATGTATTCCATATCTCCAAAGAAGGCAGGGTGAGGTAGAAAAAATAGTACAAAGTCAACATAATCTAAGATGACATCTAACTGTACTTCCAAACTTCTTTTTTTTTCTGAGAACTTGTCAGTATTTGACTGTGCTCCCCAACTGAAAATATATAGGCCTTGAAAATATCTGAACTTAATTTTAAATTGTCTCCTGAAGGAAAAAGGCAAGTGAATACACTTAGCTTCTGAAGATCTATTGTTCATACAGCTTGGATGTTCAATGGAAGGCGAATTTCCTTTTTGTTTGGTCCTAAGCAACTTGTGTACTTCTTTGTTTAATCCAGTATTAGGATAACTCAGATAACTATATTTGCTTACCTGCATAAACTCTCCTAGTCCTAATTTTATAGAGTTATCAGTTGAAATGTCTACTATTTTGATCCAAGTTTTTTTCAAAGCTGTGTAAAAACTGTGATTTATTCAGACCTGGTATCTCTAAAATGGATGAGCATTTGAATTGTTGAAATGGAATTAAACTAACTGCCCTTTTCCTCCCAGCTTTCTTTTTTCTCCCTTTTGGTATTCAGAGGTGTCCCTAATGGTTTTTAAAATAAAAAAGAATGAAGCCAGATGACCTAGCTGATATGACACGAGAAGGCTCCAAGAAAGCCATTAGCCTGAAATGGTGGTGGAAAATATCTATCAATGACATATTGTGAAAGTAATTGTTTTTAAGCTGTTGCTGTCAACATGTGTGAGTAGTAAACAGTAGACTAAGAACACAATTAGGCCTCTGAAATTAAAACAAAGAAAATCATTAAACAGAAACTGTTACCCATGAGGATCTGAAATGTTACCTATAGCTGGATTAACTGGAAGTCAGCTACATTTTTGAGAGATGAAACAGGAATGGATGGAGACATAATAATAGAATTATAGAATGGTTAAGGTTGGGAGGGAACTCAGATCATCAGGTTCCAATCCCTAAGCAATGAGCAGGAACGCCTCACACTAGACCAGGCTGCACATCCAACCTGGCCTTAACCACCTCTGGGAGGAGGTGTCAACAGCCTTTCTGGGCAACCTATTCCAGTGCCTTACTACCCTCATGGTGAAGAATTTATTCCTGATGTCTAACCTAAATCTCTCCTCTTTCAGTTTAAAACCATTACCTCTTGTCCTGTCACTATACCCGCTCATGAAGAGCTCCACACGGCTTTCCTGTAGGCCCCTTCAGGTTCTGGAAGGCTGCTATAAGGTCTCCCTGGAGCCTTCTCTTCTCTAGGCTGAACAGCCCCAAGTCTCTCAGCCTGTCTTCATAGCAGAGGTGCTCCAGCCCTTGGATCATCTTGGTGGCCCTTCTCTGGACCCTCTCCAACATATCTGTATCTTTCCTGTGCTGAGGGCACTAGAACTGAACACAGTATTTCAGGTGGGGTCTCACCAGAGCAGAGTAGAGGGGCAGAATCACCTCCCTGGCCCTGCTGGCCATGCTGCTTTTGATGCAGCCCAGGATGCAGTTGCTCTCTGGGCTCCAGCACACACTGGTGGCTCATGTTGAGCTTCTCATCAACTACCACCCCCAAGTCCTCTTCCTAATCCCTGGGTTCTTAAGAAAGTCAGACGTGGTGTTAAGATTGAGGAAACTATTGGTTTTAAAATGGAACTAAAGATGAATTGTCAAAGTTTGAGGCTTTATTGGTTTTGGAAAAGTTTAGTTAGAAAATGTTTCTAGAGGATATGTAGGAAATAAAGGCATCTCCTGTTTGTCTTCTAAAAAGAAAAAAAGTATCTATTTAAACTGATATGACACTGCAGATATTGTTTGCCCAGACTTGTTAGCTTTGCTGCCAAATTATCTGAAGGCTTTTTCTCTGTTCAGGATTTCTTATGTGAAGCCACACTGAGCCAGTGTCACGGTTTAACTCGGGTTTGGCAATTCAACAAATGACAATAGTGCTCTCTATGCCCCCCTCCTCCCACCCAGATAGGGAAAGGAGAGAGAGAATAAAGAGAGACTTTCCAGATTGAAAACTAAACTAGACAGTTCTTATTAAATGCTAGTGATAAAAGAAAGTATGTACAAGTATATACAAGTAGGTGCAGGAATGTGCAAACCCCTATTGCTTCCCCTCACCCCCAGCAACTCCCACGGCACTTCCCCTGAGTTGTGGAGAGTCCCAAGAAGGTCCTGGACTGCTGCTGGAAAGAGCAGCAGAATAAATAGAAGCTGAGGGCAAAGATACAAGGGCCAGGAATGCACGGGCCTAGGGATCAAAGGAGATGGATAGACAAGAGTCCTTCCTGGATCCTGGCCGTGGACGGAAGAGAAGATATAAGGGACTTGATTTCCATGGTCCCAGAATTTATACCGAGAGTTATGCATATGTGGGATGGAATAATCTGTTTGATCAGTTTTGCCAGCTGTCTAGTTCACTCCTCCTTACTGAAGGACTGTAGATACAACTCTTCTGCTCTGTTGGTGTCCAAAGCAGCAAATCCAACAAGTGGAGCAAAGTGCCCTTGGTCTCAGCAGTAACTATAAACATTTGGGCTTTATCAGTCCACTGGCTGGAAAACTTGCTCCTACTTTCAGCAAGTGTGCTGCTTAAAAGAGACTGCACTGAAGAAAAAAAAGTAAAAAGAAAATTGGCTTTGTCCTGGAGTGTCAGGCATTCTGTGATCAAATCTGTTCCTCATGGTTTTTGATGGAAATTTTACTGCTTCCAAAATTCCCAAGTTTGATGTGCTGGTTCTTCCTTCTAAAAACAGGCTGATCTCCCATGCAAGTCATCGATAATGATGGAATTTTTTAAGTCATGCCATCAAAGCAGTAAATGCCAAAACTGATGTTCCTTCATCAACCTTGATACCATTTTTAATGCTATTCTTAACTTACTTGGTTGTGTGTCTCTATGTCAGTGTTTAAACAAAGGGGAGTTATGTTGAAATTAAAAGGGTGTGGGAGACTTAATCCACTCAGCTTGTCTTGTCATTCTTCAGCCAGTGATTCCACTTGTCTCCTGCACATCTGTTTTTCCATGTTGGGAGCCAATAAATAATCAGCCTCTTAATGTCATAGTTTTTAAGGAGCTTTGGTGACCTTTTCTGAAGTGCTTGGCACCACTTTTTTCCAAACCCTTCCAATTCCAAAAGAAAGAACTTACCATTCCAAACATACAGTGCTTTGTCAGTCAGCAGTTTTGACTTTACCTGGAGCAGCACTACTGTAACTTTGCCAATATGGTTTGACTCATATCTTGTTCATTCTTCTTCAGAAATTAAAGGTCTAATAATTAAAGTAATGAAAAAACTGTGTGTGGTGTCTTTTGGGGAGGTGGATGTTTTGGGCTTTAGTTGTCATAGAATCGTGTTCTCTCTTGTGGAATTAGTTTCTTGATGTTGGTTGTATTTTGTAGCTAATGTTTTGCTCTTATTTCGTGCTGTTACTTTTGATGGTGTTTATTACCAGTGTTGACTGTATTTCCTTCCCCACATATAATTTTCCTTCCGCAGAACGTTAAGTCCTTAATGGGAGCAGAAAAGACTAAAGGGTTTTGCCAGATTGTGGTGTCTCCTAATTTCAGAGATGGAATCTCCTATTTGATTCAGTCAGCTGGTCTAGGAGGGATGAAGCACAACACAGTCCTGATGGCATGGCCACAGTCATGGAAGCAGACAGAGAATCGTTTCTCCTGGAAAAATTTTGTTGGTATGTATCTGTTTACTTTCTCCTATGCATTGTAATACATCTATGTAACTAGAGTATTTGCTGTGTGGAGGAAATGTGATGCTGAACGTCCACTGGGCAACTAAGTATTTCCCCACATCTGATTTCATGTGGAATGGATTTTCTCGGCCATCAGTCTCTTCAACCATGGCTTCTCTTGTTTTTCTCCTAAGCAGGTTTGTCACTAAACACAGGATGTTCCTCTTTTACCTCAGCAGAATCTGGGAGGAATTAAACTTTTGAATTGAAAGCAAAATCTGTGAACGAAAACTGGAAGTTCTTGATGGAATGTGTTATTTTTCCCTTGCAGACACTGTACGGGAGACAACAGCAGCTCAGCAAGCACTGTTGGTGGCTAAAAACATTGATTTATTTCCAACAAATCAAGAACGTTTTACTGAAGGAAACATAGATGTGTGGTGGATTGTTCATGATGGTGGTATGCTGATGTTACTGCCTTTTCTCCTTCGACAGCACAAGGCAAGGACAACAGAAGATGGCTGGGGTTTCATTTTCTAGCAATGAGTAGCTTTAAGTGTTTCTAGAACTCTTTCACCTTGATAGATTTATGCACGGTCATTGCAATCATTGTTGTGAAATGTTATAATGTTATATATGTTTTCCTAAATATATAGGAGTCAGAGAGTTGTAGTCAATGGGGCAGAATCTGGTTGGAGGTGTGTGACTAGTAGAGTCCCACAGGGGTCGGTACTGGGACCGGTGTTGTTCAACATCATCAACGACCTGGATGAGGGTATAGAATGTACCCTCAGCAAGTTTGCTGATGACACTAAGCTGGGAGGAGTGGCTGACACACCAGAAGGCTGTGCTGCCATTCAGAGAGACTTAGACAGGTTGGAGAGTTGGGCGGGGAGAAACATGATGAAGTTCAACAAGGGGAAGTGCAGAGTTTTGCATTTGGGGAAGAACAACACCATGTCCCAGTACAGGTTGGGGGCTGAACTGCTGGAGAGTAGTGTAGGTGAAAGAGACCTGGGGGTCCTGGTAGACGGGAGGATGACCATGAGCCAGCAATGTGCCCTTGTGGCCAAGAAGGCCAATGGCATCCTGGGGTGCATTAGAAAGGGTGTGGTCAGTAGGTCAAGAGAGGTTCTCCTCCCCCTCTATTCTGCATTGGTGAGGCCACATCTGGAGTATTGTGTCCAGTTCTGGGCCCCTCAGTTCAAGAAGGACAGGGAACTGCTTGAAAGAGTCCAGCACAGAGCTACTAAGATGATTAAGGGAGTGGAACATCTCCCTTATGAGGACAGAGCACTGGAACAGACTGCCCAGGGAGGTTGTGGAGTCTCCTTCTCTGGAGACATTCAAAACCCACCTGGATGAATTCCTGTGTGATGTACTCTGGGTGACCCTGCTCTGGCAGGGGGGTTGGACTAGATGATCTCTCGAGGTCCCTTCCAGCCCCTAAGATTCTATGATTCTATGATCTTCCTGATAGGTTTGGAGAAAATGTAAAATGCGTATCTTCACTGTGGCTCAAATGGATGATAACAGCATTCAAATGAAGAAGGATCTTCAGATGTTCTTGTATCATCTTAGACTGAATGCTGAAGTGGAAGTTGTTGAAATGGTATGTTATGGGATATTTTTTAGCTGCAACTGAGACTAAATTTGGAAAAATTGATGTAGCATTTTTGAAACAAATTATGTTAGCCCATATATAAAAACGTACAGATTGTAGTCTTACCAAGAACAAGAAGTTTTTTTAAGCAACATTTTCTTACCATGTCATAATGTTAGTGTATGTGGTAGTGAGTTTAATGGTTTTGTCAAGTAGAGTTGAACCATTTTGATGTTTTTACGCCTACTGTATCTGAGGACTAGCTCATTCAAGGAAGAAAAGGCATGAATTTTTAGCAGGCAGTGAAATAGAAAGATGAATGTGCTTAATCTAATAATTCATGGCATCCAGCCTGACAGAGGATGAACTGTCTTTCCAACTGTTATATGAATATCTCTCTGGAATAAGGCATCGCTAGGCCCCCATGAGGGTATGTCAGTAGTTTTTGGCATTGCCAGCATCTTTGGCACCAAACAGCAAGACAATGTAGCTAAAGATTCCTAAGTCAAATAGTGACAAACCAGATTTTGTATCTTTATTTTCCTTTTTAAATACCAGTGATAAACTGCTAAAGAGAGAGGCCTAAAGCGACAGTCTGTCTAGACCTGCTTTTTCTTTGGCAACTAAGGAAAAATTTCATTTCCAGCACTTGAAAGTGCATAATGTCCAAAGTAAGAACAAATAAAATGAAAAACCTTCTAAAACCTTCTAAACTCATTCTGAAGAGAAATGAAGAAGATGGGTCAACTGGTTCAAAACTTCTACTACCACCAGTTCCTGAAATGAAGAAAAACTAACAAAAGGTTTTATCATGCTAATCAGCCATAAAGCAAATCTTAGATATTTTAAAATTACTCCTGAAAAAAATTACTTATTAAAAATTATATTAGTATTTTGAACTAGGAAGTAAGATAAATAATTTTATTTATGTATTTTATTTCTGTTTTATTTGGAGTACTGAAAGTAAAATACTAAAATGCTGTGGCACGTGCTGGTGAGAGATGATGAACAGAGTGCCATAAAAAGGACTCAGCCCTAGTTGGATTTTCAGCAAAAGATAGTATAGGAAGCACAATTTATTCTTTTCTGACATGGGTCATATTTCACCCTGAGAATCTTCCAAAAGATAAGAGAGATGTTACAAGTTGGTGATGATGCTGATAACTGCTATAGATTTTTACATTGTATTTTAGCTTTGATCTATATGTCAGAGTGTATTCATAAATACTTCTATTTGTGAACATTTCTCACTGGCGAAAGGACAATGTGTTACTTTGTAGCTCCAAAGAGTTTTTCAAGAAACAAGTGTGCGCAAGAGGCTGTAATGCAGACCCAGTTTAAATCGGTGCTTCCAACCCTTTCTGATTTCTGCAGCCTGGGTAGAATAGAACCATGGAAAGTCTGTCCCAAGTACCCAAAATTTAGATTAAAATCACATTGATAAAGTGATGTGTTGCTATAGTAGGATAGTTCATTGCATGAGATTGCTGTTTGAAGATGAAGTCGTAAGAATGAGGACGGAAAAGACATATTGGTTAGATGCTTGAGATGACTCCAATGCCATAAATACATTCAGGACTGAATGAACACAGGAATTAATGTGATACACTGTCTGAACATTGCTCCTTCGAGTAGGGCTTTTCTGATGTCTCTGATGTCAATCCCTTTTGCAGCTTGAAAATGATATTTCTGCGTTCACGTATGAGAAGACGCTCATGATGGAACAGCGATCTCAGATGCTAAAACAGATGCAGCTATCAGAGAATGAAAGGGAAAGAGAGGTAGGGACTTTGGCTTGCCAAGATGTTCTGTGAAAAAATCTGAAAGTTATGTTTCTTGGCCATGACTTCTTAGCAGTTTCCAAATAGTCAAAATGCTTCTATAACTGCATTCAATGTTAGTTCCTGGCAAGGTGAAAATAATGTGGGGAAAAAACCCCAAATCCATTAAATCCTTTTTTATTTGAACAAAATTTTAAGAGTTCTACTGTTAAGGTTAGCAAAACATTTGAGTGCCACTGTGAAACACATCCCTAGCATTTCCAAACTTAACATATATCAGTAGCTAAGATTCATGATTATTCAACTGGACTGATTAGCTTTGCTTGTGACTTGGTCTTTTTCAATTCACACCAACTACTTTTTTGGTTTCTGTATTATTTTGAATGTGTAATGTACCAGCTAATTAGGCTGACTAACTTATAATCCTATGATACCAACGTGGGAATGCTACATTTGCTGCTCCCCTATCCTTAGCTCTCCCTGGTGGTATTTTACACATTGTAGTGACAAGCTTCATGGACCTGTATTTTCATTACTAGTTGTAACTTTAAAATCTTTCTTTATTTTGGCATGTACTTATACCCTCTCATTTATTCTGTACCTATCCCATTATTATCAGCACCTTTTAGTGATGTAAAAGTCAAAAATGCTTTGACTTTGGTATCGCTTAATGATTTCTTTCCCATGCAAAGTAAGATCTCTACTGTGTTGAACTACTCATTCATAAAATAACAAGGATTTTTTCTTGAGGCATTTTTTTGTCTACTGATAATTTTAACTCCTTATATTCCTAAGCCTTTTTGGTGCTAATCCTACAAATCCATGCAGTTCCTGTCTCCACACACCCCCCCCCCCGCCCCGGCCCCTTACTTACTCTTTTTTCCATTTTGCAGGATTTAAGGTTCCTAAAAATGCCTGGTGTTGCTACAAAGATGTGCTGCTGTAATTTCTTTCTTCTCATCTGTGTCACAGTAGTTTTCTTTTGATCAAAGCCTGCCTAACATTATTTAAATAAAAAGCAAGCTCTCCTGTACTCCTTACTCAGTGTTTTTAATTTTTTCTCATTTCTTTGTTGAACCCTAGTATTTTTCCAATAAAGTTAGAGTGATTAACCAATCTATAGTAGGTTTTTAAGGATTTAACTTCCTCATGAATGCTTTATGAGTTGCCCAAGGACATAAAGCTGTGTAGTCTACAGCATATAAACGGTAGTGAAGACATAATTTTTTTTTCTCATCTCTTGAGTTGTTGGAATCTACACTACTTCAGAGTGTTGTTTGCTTGGAACATTTAATTTCTTCTCCCCTCCCATGCGTTTTTGTTTATTGCTTGCTTTTATCTGAGTGTAACCATTATAGGTTAGTATGTTCCTTCATATCAGGCAGGGTAAAATCTGAGATGTTCAAAATACCATTGAATTTATTTCATGGAATTAAGAGTAAAATCCTTGATGATTCCTAGAACATGCAGTACTTATTTCCTGCCTCTCCGAGAATAAAAGCCATATCCATCTGTTGTTTCTGATTTGGATATCTTAATCTACCTTGTTCTTTTGTATTTTCATCCAAAAGTGTTGTGTAGTTATTTCTTCACTTCCTATGAGCTACAAGTTGAGTACAAGCATTCAGTGTACCAGGCCATTTCATAATCTGATAATCATTTCTTACATGAGGTGAGCCATCACCTCTAATTTTATGATGACCTCCAAAACATTTCTCTCCTTAGTATCACTAGAACAAATTAGTATTGCTTTTGTTTTCATTATCTGTCTTCAGACTTTCAAATATAACCCTGTTATTCCAGCTTTAAATGGTGCTTGTAGTTTTTTTTCTCCTGTTACCAACAAGATTAGTATTTTCAACTTCATTTTTGTGCTTGCTTGTACCTCTTCAAATGAGGTTCAAATCTTTGCAAAGAGAATTTGGTTTTGCACAGCATTCTTTTGCTGTTTCACTCATAGGCCTGCTCTTATTGCCAATGAATCACCCTCTTCTCTTCTTGTCACTTTTTAAAATGCAATTTTATTTGATCTTGCCCCTGGGTTTTCTTGTGAAACTGAGGCACAGAGACTCATTGGATTTTTGTTTCCTTTTTTAGAAATTTGGCTGATTTGCTTCTACTCAAGTGTAGATATAACACATGCCTGTAAAGTGTAAGGTCTGCAGACTTTGATGAAACTGCCAAATGTTTATTTATTTGTAATTATTTTACAATACTGCCACAAAGATGAAAGGAAGTGTACTGCCTCGTTGACCTGCCTAGGGGTTGTTAGCTTCCTTTTCTGGCTGGTCCTGACTAATTACTGTTGAGCCAGGTAGTGATATTGTTGGAGCTGCAGAAATGTGGGTGCATGTAGGTGAGGAGCAAAATTATAGTTTGGGAATCACAGGGAAATAAATAAATATTGAGAGTCAGAAAGCAGCTTTCTCATCTGCTTAATTTTTTTTCATACTTTTGATTGTAATAGAGTAAAATCAATTCATTACATATTGAAGGGATGTGACCTTCACAAGTGAATATCTGAAGTATAGTCTAAAGGATTCAATTCATGTTTTTACAAATCTCTGAAAGGCTTCATATCTAATTGCTAAACATTCCAAGAAGAGCCCCATACAAACGACATTTGTAAAAACAAACTGAGTGTATAACAAGCTACAATAACAAAACTCAATCTATTTAAATGAAGACAGTTTGTTTTATTTTGGATGATATGATAATCTGTTTTTTCTGTAGTCTGTTGGTTTAGTCACTGGTAACGTTTTTGTCCCAGATTCAGAGTATCACTGATGAGTCTCGAGGCTCAGTCAGAAGGACAAGCTGCTCCAGCCCACAGTCCATTGGCCAGGATGGGCAAGCACTGACTAATGATTATCAAGAGGAGGAGGTAGACGTAGTACTGGCTAGATATATTTTCCCATTGCAACACTTGAAGTGCCACTATTGCAAACTGAACTACAAATGAACAACTTGATTGTTCATTGTTATAGAACAGTTCCTCATAAATTTTAATTTTACTTTTTAAAAATTAATTATCTTACTCCATTTTTTCTCTACATGATGCTTTAATGACATGAACAGCATCCTGTTTTTCTCACACTTATTTTGCTTAAAAGAAATATTTCTATTTCTGAGACTGCCTGTTTAAGAGCCAGAAGCAAAGATATTTCTTCTGTCTCTTAAACTTGGTGTTTCATTAATAAGCATAATTCAGGCTTTCACTTTCACAAAGCATTGCCTTCCCTTAGAGTTCTTAAATTGAAGTACTGAAGTTTCTCGAGACTGTATAGATATACTAAGGCTTTTAAAGGACATTTCTGTGCTTATTAATGAAATGAACTGATGTAATCAATGGTTTTAGTGTGCACTTGAAGTGTTGCTCATATGTAAAGGTGTGTAGCCATTGTAGAAATGCTGTATACCTTTGTGTTTCCCTTTCTTCATGAAGTAGGAGAACATCATGTTGTATTCTGTGTAATTAATTTGGTGTCATAATAGCAGCAACAAGAATGTGCTTTTGTTGTCTTTGCATTTTTATAAATGTTTGTGATAGGTCCAGAATTTCTCTTGGTTTCACTGTCTTTCTAAAAATGGCAACCTTTCTCCTGCT